ACCTTCATACATACATACATACATACATACATACATACATACATACATACATACATACATACATACATATACACCTTCATACACACACACACACACACACATTCACACATACACGCACACATATACACCTTCATACATACATACATACATACATACATACATACATACATACATACATACATACATACATACATACATACATACATACATACATACATACATACATACATACATACATACATACATACATACATACATACATATACACCTTTATACATACATACATACATACATACATACATACATACATACATACATACATACATACATACATACATACATATACACCTTTATACATACATACATACATACATACATACATACATATACACCTTTATACATACATACACACATACATACATACATACATACATACATACATACATACATACATACATACATACATACATACATACATACATACATATACACCTTTATACATACATACACACATACATACATACATACATACATACATACATACATACATACATACATACATACATACATACATACATACATACATATACACCTTTATACATACATACATACATACATACATACATACATACATACATACATACATACATATACACCTTTATACATACATACATACATACATACATACATACATACATACATACATACATACATACATACATACATACATACATACATATACACCTTTATACATACATACATACATACATATACACCTTCATACATACATACATACATACATACATACATACATACATACATACATACATACATACATATACACCTTTATACATACATACATACATACATACATACATACATACATACATACATACATACATATACACCTTTATACATACATACATACATACATACATACATACATACATACATACATACATATACACCTTTATACATACATACACACATACATACATACATACATACATACATACATACATACATACATACATACATACATACATACATACATACATACATATACACCTTTATACATACATACATATACACCTTCATACATACATACATACATACATACATACATACATACATACATACATACATACATACATACATACATACATATACACCTTTATACATACATACACACATACATACATACATACATACATACATACATACATACATACATACATACATACATACTTATCTATAGCATTATTGTACAGGGCATGATTATTATTTTAATTTGTGTAGGATGTTTCCCCATTTTCGTTCAAATTGTAATAGACCATTGTTTTTTGTGGCAATGAATTTTTCAATCATAGCTGACTCTTTTAGTATTTTCCTAAAATTATCAAAACTTGGTTTCTCACCCTTAATACTTGATATATATATATTTATCATTTAATGGGTAGGTTTCTTGGCAGGATAAAGCCAACAGATAAAAACGATATCCGTTGGGGTCATATGCGGATAGAGATGCAAATATCAAATATCAAGTAGGGACTACTTTCAGTGTTTATAAACAAACATGGCGTCGCCCTCGTCATTCGGCGATCGAGTCAGAATTAACCATCGGGAATCTGGATAAACTACAGGGATAATTGCTATCATTATCAAAAGAACAGTCTAATATAATGAAAATCAGTGTCTAACTGTGACGTAGCTAAGGCATTTTATAAGTTTTGGAGATATAAATTTGGAAACAATTTTGAGGGACACGAGGCCTAGCCATGCAGGATCAGTAGCCATATCTGTGCTTGTAGACCTCTGCTGCTTGAAACCTTCTCTACAAATTAAAATAGTTTTACAATTATAATAGCCAAGGCTCGCTAAATACAATGTTTATTCCTAATGCAGGATATTTACCATCCCCAAACACACTCGCGCGATAACCTTTATATATCTTTTACTGGATATTATAATATGATTTAGTAAAAGTTTATTTTTGTCGAATCCAAATATAACTGAGTATTTGGTAAGTGAGATCCTAGTATGGATATCAAGGTTTAGAAAGGTTTCCAGTTTGCTCCAAAAGTGTTTAACATATTCACATTCCCAATATACATGTACAAAGTTTTCACCATTTAAGTCACAAAAGGAGCAAATATCATTATCAACTAGTTTCATTTTTAATAATGATGTTTACTGTTGATGACAGAAATATAAATTTCATACAGTAGACGATAATTACTACTTGTAAATATTGTGAAAAATTTGCTTTCATGGCCAATAACACTTGCCACTGTTGAACTGACTTTATTTAAAAAAAAATAAATTGAAAACCGTAAGTACCGTGAGATTAGAGTAAACCATCCTATGGCCTCTATTTTAGTTAAGCAGGTTGTGTTTGATTAATGGAATTCACCAGGGAGAACTGTAATTATAGTACACAGTGCAGTGAAACCCAGCCATGCATTGTAACAGAGCTCCAGATAATCTGCGTATCTGCGTGAAATACGCATCAGAAATGCAGAAATACGCAGTAAAATATAATCCAAGCGTATCAAATACGCAACGAACATTACAGATACGCTACAAAAATAAAATTTGTGCGTATCATCAAAATATTGTGAAGTAACCCTGCGTATTCGATTAGCAAATCAGCAACTTATTTTGAAATTATAAACGGGCATTCCGTCAACCTTGCCAAACTCCACGATGACAGTCACATCATGATCATTTGCCATTACACTTTCGTGTGGAAGTATCGTGGTATTTTTTAGTCCTATAAAGCTCTCGAACCCACACGACACCAGTTTGAATGATGAATAGTGTTTTTAAATATTTAACTTAAATACCCACATGTGTAAAAACTAGTGGGTAACAGAAATTTGAATACGCAGATAGAATTACTGATACCCAATGATTTTAAAATGCATGGGTAAAATACCAACAACACCAAAAGCTTATCTGGAGCTCTGTTGTAAAAAGGTTTAATCAATAGTGGAGACTGCTGTAGTAGCACTGACCTGGTGTGATTTCACAGCTGACAGTCTCCAGGTTGATAGTATATATATCAGCATGTACTATCCACCTGACAACTGTGTCTCTTAACCATGTGTATCAGCATATACTATCCACCTGACAACTGTCTCTCTTAACCATGTGTATGAGCATATACTATCCACCTGAAAACTGTCTCTTCAGTTAAACATCTCTATCAGCATATACTATCAACATGACAAATATCTCTTCAGTTTTGGCAAGAATGACACCAGGTGTTTGTTGTTTGCAGACAGGGAGCGCCCTCCAGCAGACGGCCAGAAGAATGTGTTCACATATGAAGAGGCTGTCACCTCCACAGGTAGGTCACACACCCACATGCGCTCAGTTCCAAATGATGATGATGATGATGATGATGATGATGATGGTGTGTTTCAGGTTTTGGACGGTTCCACGCCATCTATCTATCTGCTGCTGTGTGTCTGGGCAGTATGCAATGATGATGATGATGATGATGATGATGGTGTGTTTCAGGTTTTGGACGGTTCCACGCCATCTATCTATCTGCTGCTGTGTGTCTGGGCAGTATGCAATGATGATGATGATGATGATGATGATTGTGTGTTTCAGGTTTTGGACGGTTCCACGCCATCTATCTATCTGCTGCTGTGTGTCTGGGCAGTATGCAATGATGATGATGATGATGATGATGATTGTGTGTTTCAGGTTTTGGACGGTTCCACGCCATCTATCTATCTGCTGCTGTGTGTCTGGGTAGTATGCAATGATGATGATGATGATGATGATGTTCTGCCGCTGTGTGTCTGGGCAGTATGCAATGATTATGATGATGATGATGATGATGATGATGTTCTGCCGCTGTGTGTCTGGGCAGTATGCGATGATTATGATGATGATGATGATGATGATGTTTCAGGTTTTGGACGGTTCCACGCCATCTATTTGCTGCTGTGTGTCTGGGTAGTATGCAATGATGATGATGATGATGATGATGTTCTGCCGCTGTGTGTCTGGGCAGTATGCAATGATTATGATGATGATGATGATGTTGATGATGGTGTTTCAGGTTACGGACGGTTCCACGTCCTCCTGCTGCTGCTGTGTGTCTGGGCAGTATGCAATGATGATGATGATGATGATGTTGATGATGGTGTTTCAGGTTACGGACGGTTCCACGTCCTCCTGCTGCCGCTGTGTGTCTGGGCAGTATGCAATGATGATGAGGATGATGATGTTGATGATGGTGTTTCAGGTTACGGACGGTTCCACGTCCTCCTCCTGCTGCTGTGCGGCTGGGCAGTATGCAATGATTATGATGATGATGATGATGTTGATGATGGTGTTTCAGGTTACGGACGGTTCCACGTCCTCCTGCTGCTGCTGTGTGTCTGGGCAGTATGCAATGATGATGATGATGATGATGATGTTGATGATGGTGTTTCAGGTTACGGACGGTTCCACGTCCTCCTCCTGCTGCTGTGCGGCTGGGCAGTATGCAATGATGATGATGATGATGATGATGTTCTGCCGCTGTGTGTCTGGGCAGTATGCAATGATGATGATGATGATGATGTTGATGATGGTGTTTCAGGTTACGGACGGTTCCACGTCCTCCTGCTGCTGCTGTGTGTCTGGGCAGTATGCAATGATTATGATGATGATGATGATGTTGATGATGGTGTTTCAGGTTACGGACGGTTCCATCTCCTTCTCCTGCTGCTGTGTGTCTGGGCAGTATGCAATGATGATGATGATGATGATGTTGATGATGGTGTTTCAGGTTACGGACGGTTCCACGTCCTCCTGCTGCTGCTGTGTGTCTTGGCAGTATGCAATGATGATGATGATGATGATGTTGATGATGGTGTTTCAGGTTACGGACGGTTCCACGTCCTCCTGCTGCTGCTGTGCGGCTGGGCAGTATGCAATGATGATGATGATGATGATGTTGATGATGGTGTTTCAGGTTACGGACGGTTCCACGTCCTCCTCCTGCTGCTGTGTGTCTGGGTAGTTTGCAATGATGATGATGATGATGTTCTGCTGCTGTGTGTTTGGGCAGCATGCAATGATTATGATGATGATGATGATGTTGATGATGGTGTTTCAGGTTACGGACGGTTCCACGTCCTCCTGCTGCTGCTGTGTGTCTGGGCAGTATGCAATGATGATGATGATGATGATGTTGATGATGGTGTTTCAGGTTACGGACGGTTCCACGTCCTCCTGCTGCTGCTGTGCGGCTGGGCAGTATGCAATGATGATGATGATGATGATGTTGATGATGGTGTTTCAGGTTACGGACGGTTCCACGTCCTCCTCCTGCTGTGTGTCTGGGCAGTATGCAATGATGATGATGATGATGATGTTGATGATGGTGTTTCAGGTTACGGACGGTTCCACGTCCTCCTGCTGCTGCTGTGTGTCTGGGCAGTATGCAATGATGATGATGATGATGATGTTGATGATGGTGTTTCAGGTTACGGACGGTTCCACGTCCTCCTCCTGCTGTGTCTGGGCAGTATGCAATGATGATGATGATGATGACGGTTCCACGTCCTCCTCCTGCTGTGTCTGGGCAGTATGCAATGATGATGATGATGATGATGATGATGTTGATGATGGTGTTTCAGGTTACGGACGGTTCCACGTCCTCCTGCTGCTGCTGTGTGTCTGGGCAGTATGCAATGATTATGATGATGATGATGATGTTGATGATGGTGTTTCAGGTTACGGACGGTTCCACGTCCTCCTCCTGCTGCTGTGCGGCTGGGCAGTATGCAATGATGATGATGATGATGATGTTGATGATGGTGTTTCAGGTTACGGACGGTTCCACGTCCTCCTCCTGCTGCTGTGCGGCTGGGCGGTGTCCAGTGATGCCGTTGAGGTTCTGTCGGTGTCCTTCCTCCTGCCCTCAGCTTCCTGTGAACTCAAGATGACGTCGTCACACAAGGGATGGCTTAGTGCCATTGTATTTGTGGGTGAGTCTCCTGTATTTGTGGGTGAGTCTCTCCTGTATTTGTGGGTGAGTCTCTCCTGTATTTGTGGGTGAGTCTCCTGTATTTGTGGGTGGGTCTCTCCTGTATTTGTGGGTGAGTCTCCTGTATTTGTGGGTGGGTCTCTCCTGTATTTGTGGGTGAGTCTCCTGTATTTGTGGGTGAGTCTCTCCTGTATTTGTGGGTGAGTCTCTCCTGTATTTGTGGGTGAGTCTCTCCTGTATTTGTGGGTGAGTCTCTCCTGTATTTGTGGGTGAGTCTCTCCTGTATTTGTGGGTGAGTCTCTCCTGTATTTGTGGGTGAGTCTCTCCTGTATTTGTGGGTGAGTCTCCTGTATTTGTGGGTGAGTCTCTCCTGTATTTGTGGGTGAGTCTCTCCTGTATTTGTGGGTGAGTCTCTCCTGTATTTGTGGGTGAGTCTCTCCTGTATTTGTGGGTGAGTCTCTCCTGTATTTGTGGGTGAGTCTCTCCTGTATTTGTGGGTGAGTCTCTCCTGTATTTGTGGGTGAGTCTCTCCTGTATTTGTGGGTGAGTCTCTCCTGTATTTGTGGGTGAGTCTTTCCTGTATTTGTGGGTGAGTCTCTCCTGTATTTGTGGGTGAGTCTCTCCTGTATTTGTGGGTGAGTCTCTCCTGTATTTGTGGGTGAGTCTCCTGTATTTGTGGGTGAGTCTCACCTGTATTTGTGGGTGAGTCTCTCCTGTATTTGTGGGTGAGTCTCTCCTGTATTTGTGGGTGAGTCTCTCCTGTATTTGTGGGTGAGTCTCTCCTGTATTTGTGGGTGAGTCTCTCCTGTATTTGTGGGTGAGTCTCTCCTGTATTTGTGGGTGAGTCTCTCCTGTATTTGTGGGTGAGTCTCTCCTGTATTTGTGGGTGAGTCTCTCCTGTATTTGTGGGTGAGTCTCTCCTGTATTTGTGGGTGAGTCTCTCCTGTATTTGTGGGTGAGTCTCTCCTGTATTTGTGGGTGGGTCTCTCCTGTATTTGTGGGTGAGTCTCTCCTGTATTTGTGGGTGAGTCTCCTGTATTTGTGGGTGAGTCTCTCCTGTATTTGTGGGTGAGTCTCTCCTGTATTTGTGGGTGAGTCTCTCCTGTATTTGTGGGTGAGTCTCTCCTGTATTTGTGGGTGAGTCTCTCCTGTATTTGTGGGTGAGTCTCTCCTGTATTTGTGGGTGGGTCTCTCCTGTATTTGTGGGTGAGTCTCTCCTGTATTTGTGGGTGAGTCTCCTGTATTTGTGGGTGAGTCTCTCCTGTATTTGTGGGTGAGTCTCTCCTGTATTTGTGGGTGAGTCTCTCCTGTATTTGTGGGTGAGTCTCTCCTGTATTTGTGGGTGAGTCTCTCCTGTATTTGTGGGTGGGTCTCTCCTGTATTTGTGGGTGAGTCTCTCCTGTATTTGTGGGTGAGTCTCTCCTGTATTTGTGGGTGAGTCTCTCCTGTATTTGTGGGTGAGTCTCTCCTGTATTTGTGGGTGAGTCTCTCCTGTATTTGTGGGTGAGTCTCCTGTATTTGTGGGTGAGTCTCTCCTGTATTTGTGGGTGAGTCTCTCCTGTATTTGTGGGTGAGTCTTTCCTGTATTTGTGGGTGAGTCTCCTGTATTTGTGGGTGAGTCTCTCCTGTATTTGTGGGTGAGTCTCTCCTGTATTTGTGGGTGAGTCTCTCCTGTATTTGTGGGTGAGTCTCTCCTGTATTTGTGGGTGAGTCTCCTGTATTTGTGGGTGAGTCTCTCCTGTATTTGTGGGTGAGTCTCTCCTGTATTTGTGGGTGAGTCTCTCCTGTATTTGTGGGTGAGTCTCTCCTGTATTTGTGGGTGAGTCTCTCCTGTATTTGTGGGTGAGTCTCTCCTGTATTTGTGGGTGAGTCTCTCCTGTATTTGTGGGTGAGTCTCTCCTGTATTTGTGGGTGAGTCTCTCCTGTATTTGTGGGTGAGTCTCTCCTGTATTTGTGGGTGAGTCTCTCCTGTATTTGTGGGTGAGTCTCCTGTATTTGTGGGTGAGTCTCTCCTGTATTTGTGGGTGAGTCTCTCCTGTATTTGTGGTGAGTCTCTCCTGTATTTGTGGGTGAGTCTCCTGTATTTGTGGGTGAGTCTCTCCTGTATTTGTGGGTGAGTCTCTCCTGTATTTGTGGTGAGTCTCTCCTGTATTTGTGGGTGAGTCTCTCCTGTATTTGTGGGTGAGTCTCTCCTGTATTTGTGGGTGAGTCTCTCCTGTATTTGTGGGTGAGTCTCTCCTGTATTTGTGGGTGAGTCTCTCCTGTATTTGTGGGTGAGTCTCTCCTGTATTTGTGGGTGAGTCTCTCCTGTATTTGTGGGTGAGTCTCTCCTGTATTTGTGGGTGAGTCTCTCCTGTATTTGTGGGTGAGTCTCTCCTGTATTTGTGGGTGAGTCTCTCCTGTATTTGTGGGTGAGTCTCTCCTGTATTTGTGGGTGAGTCTCTCCTGTATTTGTGGGTGAGTCTCTCCTGTATTTGTGGGTGAGTCTCTCCTGTATTTGTGGGTGAGTCTCCTGTATTTGTGGGTGAGTCTCTCCTGTATTTGTGGGTGAGTCTCTCCTGTATTTGTGGGTGAGTCTCTCCTGTATTTGTGGGTGAGTCTCTCCTGTATTTGTGGGTGGGTCTCTCCTGTATTTGTGGGTGAGTCTCCTGTATTTGTGGGTGAGTCTCTCCTGTATTTGTGGGTGAGTCTCCTGTATTTGTGGGTGAGTCTCTCCTGTATTTGTGGGTGAGTCTCCTGTATTTGTGGGTGAGTCTCTCCTGTATTTGTGGGTGAGTCTCTCCTGTATTTGTGGGTGAGTCTTTCCTGTATTTGTGGGTGAGTCTCTCCTGTATTTGTGGGTGAGTCTCTCCTGTATTTGTGGGTGAGTCTCTCCTGTATTTGTGGGTGAGTCTCTCCTGTATTTGTGGGTGAGTCTCACCTGTATTTGTGGGTGAGTCTCCTGTATTTGTGGGTGAGTCTCCTGTATTTGTGGGTGAGTCTCTCCTGTATTTGTGGGTGAGTCTCTCCTGTATTTGTGGGTGAGTCTCCTGTATTTGTGGGTGAGTCTCTCCTGTATTTGTGGGTGAGTCTCTCCTGTATTTGTGGGTGAGTCTTTCCTGTATTTGTGGGTGAGTCTCTCCTGTATTTGTGGGTGAGTCTCTCCTGTATTTGTGGGTGAGTCTCTCCTGTATTTGTGGGTGAGTCTCTCCTGTATTTGTGGGTGAGTCTCTCCTGTATTTGTGGGTGAGTCTCTCCTGTATTTGTGGGTGAGTCTCTCCTGTATTTGTGGGTGAGTCTCTCCTGTATTTGTGGGTGAGTCTCTCCTGTATTTGTGGGTGAGTCTCTCCTGTATTTGTGGGTGAGTCTCTCCTGTATTTGTGGGTGAGTCTCTCCTGTATTTGTGGGTGAGTCTCACCTGTATTTGTGGGTGAGTCTCCTGTATTTGTGGGTGAGTCTCCTGTATTTGTGGGTGAGTCTCTCCTGTATTTGTGGGTGAGTCTCTCCTGTATTTGTGGGTGAGTCTTTCCTGTATTTGTGGGTGAGTCTCTCCTGTATTTGTGGGTGAGTCTCTCCTGTATTTGTGGGTGAGTCTCTCCTGTATTTGTGGGTGAGTCTCTCCTGTATTTGTGGTGAGTCTCTCCTGTATTTGTGGGTGAGTCTCTCCTGTATTTGTGGTGAGTCTCTCCTGTATTTGTGGGTGAGTCTCTCCTGTATTTGTGGGTGAGTCTCTCCTGTATTTGTGGGTGAGTCTCTCCTGTATTTGTGGGTGAGTCTCTCCTGTATTTGTGGGTGAGTCTCTCCTGTATTTGTGGGTGAGTCTCTCCTGTATTTGTGGGTGAGTCTCCTGTATTTGTGGGTGAGTCTCTCCTGTATTTGTGGGTGAGTCTCTCCTGTATTTGTGGGTGAGTCTCTCCTGTATTTGTGGGTGAGTCTCTCCTGTATTTGTGGGTGAGTCTCTCCTGTATTTGTGGGTGAGTCTCCTGTATTTGTGGGTGAGTCTCTCCTGTATTTGTGGGTGAGTCTCTCCTGTATTTGTGGGTGAGTCTTTCCTGTATTTGTGGGTGAGTCTCCTGTATTTGTGGGTGAGTCTCTCCTGTATTTGTGGGTGAGTCTCTCCTGTATTTGTGGGTGAGTCTCTCCTGTATTTGTGGGTGAGTCTCTCCTGTATTTGTGGGTGAGTCTCCTGTATTTGTGGGTGAGTCTCTCCTGTATTTGTGGGTGAGTCTCTCCTGTATTTGTGGGTGAGTCTCTCCTGTATTTGTGGGTGAGTCTCTCCTGTATTTGTGGGTGAGTCTCTCCTGTATTTGTGGGTGAGTCTCTCCTGTATTTGTGGGTGAGTCTCTCCTGTATTTGTGGGTGAGTCTCTCCTGTATTTGTGGGTGAGTCTCTCCTGTATTTGTGGGTGAGTCTCTCCTGTATTTGTGGGTGAGTCTCCTGTATTTGTGGGTGAGTCTCTCCTGTATTTGTGGGTGAGTCTCTCCTGTATTTGTGGTGAGTCTCTCCTGTATTTGTGGGTGAGTCTCTCCTGTATTTGTGGGTGAGTCTCTCCTGTATTTGTGGGTGAGTCTCTCCTGTATTTGTGGTGAGTCTCTCCTGTATTTGTGGGTGAGTCTCTCCTGTATTTGTGGGTGAGTCTCTCCTGTATTTGTGGGTGAGTCTCTCCTGTATTTGTGGGTGAGTCTCTCCTGTATTTGTGGGTGAGTCTCTCCTGTATTTGTGGGTGAGTCTCTCCTGTATTTGTGGGTGAGTCTCTCCTGTATTTGTGGGTGAGTCTCTCCTGTATTTGTGGGTGAGTCTCTCCTGTATTTGTGGGTGAGTCTCTCCTGTATTTGTGGGTGAGTCTCTCCTGTATTTGTGGGTGAGTCTCTCCTGTATTTGTGGGTGAGTCTCTCCTGTATTTGTGGGTGAGTCTCTCCTGTATTTGTGGGTGAGTCTCTCCTGTATTTGTGGGTGGGTCTCTCCTGTATTTGTGGGTGAGTCTCCTGTATTTGTGGGTGAGTCTCCTGTATTTGTGGGTGA